ATTTAATAGAAGGAAATGTATGGCATGCAAAATATATAAATATAAACATATAAATATAAATATGTACTTATAGAGAGGGGTATTTTTGTTGTAGGGTTATATATGTTTACTTTTTTTTAAAAAAAAAAAAAACCAATTTCATAGAGTAATTGTCTTATCCACATCCAACAGTAGTCTTATTTTGAATAAATATTCACATAAAATATAATATGATACCCATCAATGAATGTTGTCCACTTTGTATGGTTTGCGTAAAAAAGGAATACACGTAGTTCATGGATTTCGGCCTTTACATTGGTTGAATAGGAACAAACCATAGAACTGTAGGTATAAATATACTTTTGTGTTAAATTATTTTGTAGAAATGATATATTTCTATATAAATATTTATATGTTTAAAATTCGAAATGAAATTTCACCAAAATATCATTAATATAAATATGAGTATATAAATTTAAATATTTAAAGCCTTATGAGGGAGTGAATGAGAGAATAGAGAAAAGAGGAAAAAAAAATGTCTGACCGCATTGGTCGGATGGAAGGAGGAGAACGTACAATCGGTTGGGATAGAAAGAGGACATGAGGTGATGGATTTGGTCGGATGGAAGGAGGAGAACGTACAATCGGTTGGGATAGAAAGAGGACATGAGGTGATGGATTTGGTCGGACCGAATGAGGTAAACGGTCCAGCGGGATAGCATGCAAAAAGGACATATAGTAGGTGTATTTGTCGGATGAGAAAGAGAAGAAACGTCCAGTCAGTTGGGAAAGGAGCACAAACGTCCAGTCGGTTGGGAAAGGAGAGAAATGGGCTGATTTGCTGGGATGGAAGATGAAACCGTCCACTCGGTTGGTAAGGAAAGACGAGAGATAGCGGCGGGATCCGTCGGTTGAGAGGGAGCACAAACGTCCAGTCGGTTATGATAGAAAAAGGAGAAAAAGCGGTTGATTGGGTCGGATGGAAGAGGGAACCGTCCAGTCGGTTCCATTTGAAAGACGAGAGATAGGAGGTTCTTCCGCGGATCAGAAGGAGAATAGATGTTCAGTCGGTGGGGATGGAAATAGGAGATAAAACGGGTGATTTTTTCGGATGGAAGAGGATAACCGTGCCGTCGGTTTAAATGGAAAGACGAGAGAAAGGGGTTGAATCCGTGCAATGACAAGGAGAAGAGTTGTCCAGTCAGTAGGGGCTAAAAAATTGGTTGGTCGCACAGTTTAAAAATATATATGTTTATATATTTTATTATATTTTTTTGTCTCAAGTCTTTGTATCCCTACCGACGGGATGGTTTTCCTCTTTCTCATCCGACCAAATCTCCCACTTTTTCTTTCGTTTCCATCTCAACCGACTGTACAGTTCTCCTCCTTCATTACGATTAATTCCGTCAACCACTTATTATTATTATTATTATTATTATTATTATTATTATTATTATTATTGTGTCTCTTTTCTTATTCTCTCTCCCATAAGTCTAATTCTGTCTAACCCTTTTTTTTTTCTTCCTAAAAATATTATATAATTCATTCTGTTTTGGGTTCCCACTTTTTTTTTTCCTTCTTAATATCTAACTTTATATTTTTTCTTTATTTTAATTTATATTTTTATATTCATATAACATGATTTTTTAAATTTAATTTGAAATTAAAATATATGAAAGAATATTGATTTTTTCGGAAAGAAAAATGAAACAAATAAAAAGGAAAGAATATAAATATAGATATTTTTAGAAAGAAAAAGGAATGGGGACGTGTGGCAGTGAGTAATATCGTACGAAAATTTAATTTGATAAAGAAAAATTAGGATTTTTAAAATTGGTTGATTGTACATTTGTTGATTGTCATTTATGTTTTTGAAGGACTAACCTACGGTTTCGTCAAGGAGAAAGACAATTTGTTTCCAAATTGATCTGGCCCACTAGTGGGCCCATTTTTTTTTTTATCTTTACAAGACTCAAAACCCTAGTCCTATTTTTGTATTCAATAATTTGGCTGCTTTTCTTCTGGATGTGTATACGTCACTCTTGATCGGTGCAAGAAATGACAGTTCCTTCTCTGCAAATCCAAACAATGTAATCATTACATTGCTTCAGTCAAATCGGAGGGGTTTTAAAAACCCTTTTTTACCGCCAGAAAGTGTCTGCTTCCTCATTTCACTAACTTTTTATCGTCTTCCTCATCTTGAAGCTCTCTCCATTTCAAAATTTTCTTTCCATGCCGAATCAGTATGTTCCCGCTTTGCCGTTTGATGGTTCTGACCCCAAAACGTCATTTGTTTCATCTCGAGTTCTGACTCCAATGATTCGGCCTACTGTACCAGTGTTGAAGATGATTTGCTAATGAGGGATATCCTCGAACAAAGAACACTTCTACCCACAAAAGTACCTCTTTCAATCCTTCTCGCCTTTTAGATACAATAAGAACCCACGTAACTGATCCGAATGATAGCTTTCGGAAGTGGTATTGCAAGCTTTCCCCTCATTTTCAGGAACAATGGAAATTCCAGGGAATTGATATAGCCATTCTTCTTGGGACTCAACCGCTACATCTTCATGACAAAGTTCTTCTTGGTGTGGAAGCCTTTTGGAATCAAGAGATTGGGGCATTTCTGCTACCTAGTGGTCCCACAGGTCCGACGTTGATGGATGTAGTGTTGATCGCTCACTTGCCTATTGTGGGTGAAGACCCAGTGGTCGGTTGTCTCGCAGGGCAGGAGCTGCCATCCGACCATATCGGGTGGTCTTTGTCCGCCCTCTCCGGCAAAGGATCGACTAACTTCATTGCCGACCATCAGGGTGAAGCTGGTAGTCCTGTCACTGACCTTGAACATACCACATTTATACTTTTCTAGCTCTGTAGGTATGTTATTCTTTTTCCCTCTAAATGCATTCTTCCTTCTCAAATAGACCTTGCTATTCACATAGTTTCGGGTCGCTTCTTCTCGATCGGAACCCTTTTCCTCTCTAATCTTTATGAGGGTCTAGCCCGAGCTATGTCCCGTCTTTCCGAGTCTAATAAATTAGACACAACCGCCTCAGGACCTTTTTGGTTTTTAGAACTTTGGCTGTGTTTATACTTCCCAAATGCCTTTTATGGTCGGCCACCGGTAGACTGCGGACGCGGGGTTTCACTCGGTTTGACCCTTGCGGCTATGTCTGGGAAACAAGCTGACCTGAAACCATCCGACCACATTTTAGAGTATATCGTATCGGACCGTAGTATTAATTTATGCTTCTTTGTATATACAAGCTTTGTACAGTATGCTACTGAACTTTTCTGGCCATATCCTGACTCTTCTCCTCCGTTTCCATATCATGATCCTTTACCACACCCGGCTTACTCTTTTTCCTAGGACGCTTCTCTGAAACCTCGTTCTTTATTCTCTAGTAAGCGAATGGCTAACAAGGGACATAAATCTTTTTATACCTTCAACTATCCACCCCAACTTCTAGCACGGCAATTCGGTTGTCGACAAGGTATTCCTGGCCCGCTTTGCCGACCTCACTTAATAACTCAAAGCCCTGCCGGTAGAGTAATCCCCGAACTTATCCAACCTTACCTCCTACTTCTAATTCTTACCTGCCTTTTCAAACCCAACCTCAGACTGTAGAGTCTTTCCCTGGGTGGTGGTCGGTAACATGGGCCTTGCTGACTCCTCAAGAAATTATTCCAATTCTTCTATCGCCACCAGCATTGGCGCTTCATTCGGTTGTGCGTAAACGGGGCCCATGCATAAGCCAAGCCCTCACTTGAAGGTAGTCCAAGTGTGGCCAAAATGAAGAGAAAGAAAATATCTACCGGCAAGCAGGCAGTTGTGCGGATCCCCGTAGTGGACCGTCAAGCAGTCAAGGAGTACCTTGTTTCGCTTCCGATTGATACTGATTGGATGGCACCTCATGTACGTAGTGGCTTTAGTAAGTTTTAATGTTACATTTCTAAGAACCCATATTATCTTTTCTAACATTATTATATTCGCAATTGATCCTCCATTTCGACAATAAGAACATTAAGTGACCATATCCGCAGATACCGTACACACAGATGTACCGACTAACCCAGACATCTTGGTAACAAGTGATTTAGTTCTCTGTATGAAATTTTAGTCACTTTGGTATACCCCTTACTAGTAATCTTTGTTATAGGTATCAAAACTTCAAACACCGTCTACTGCACCTTCCTCTATTGAACCGCCGATGATTGGTCAATCAGAACGACCGACAATGAGGGAGATTCCATAACAACCAAAACTTCAAACTTTATGACTTTACTTTCCTCTGGTCAACCACCGGTGACTGGTCAGATAGAGGAACCAACCCTGAGGCAGACTCCCTCAGAACCTATCTGTATTTGTGCCAAATCCAGTAAGTATTGTTTAAGTAGGAAATCTGAGTTTTTTAATATTTACGTGTGTTGATGTATTTTTTCAACAAACAAAAAGTAAAATTCAAAGTTATGGAAAATATCTTTAAACTTGAATAATTAGCGCCTGAGATTAGGAATCTCTAAACACTATACGGTACACAAGAAAAATTAACTGGAAATTAAAATGCTGGAAATTTAAAGTGGTGATCCTCGAATCTAACTTTGCTTTGTTGAAGTTGATTGAAGATGCTTTCTCCAGAAAAATCCAAATCTTTAAATATTCCTTGAAGAAAACGCTTGGAACCGTCGCCAGCAACCGCCGTCAACCGCCCAAGATGGAACATTTTGAAACGTCGCCTGGTCAGTTACAGCAACCGTCTTGCCAACTGCATAACCCAACTGATTAATCCAGCGACTAATTGGTCGCTAGACCAAAAGACTCCTTGGCCGCCCCCACCAAGCGACCAAACTACTGTTCACTTAAGTGGGCAGCCGACTCTACTTGGTCCGACCATGTACCAACCGACTTGTTTATCCGACCGCAGCCCATTCGACCTGCTTATCCGACCGCAGATCATCCGACCCGCTTATCCGACTGCTGACTAACCGACCTGCCTATCCGACCTGCTGACCAACCGACCTGCAGACTTTCCGACCTATGGACCATCCGACCCGCTAACCAACCGACCTGACTATCCGACCGCAGACCTTCCGACCTGCAGACTTTTTGACCTATGGACCATCCGACCTGCTAACCAACCGACCTGCAGACTTTCCGACCTATGGACCATCCGACCCGCTAACCAACCGACCTGACTATCCGACCGCAGACCTTCCGACCTGCAGACTTTCTGACCTATGGACCATCCGACCTGCTAACCAACCGACCTGCAGACTTTCCGACCTATGGACCATCCGACCCGCTAACCAACCGACCTGACTATCCGACCGCAGACCTTCCGACCTGCAGACTTTCTGACCTATGGACCATCCGACCCGCTAACCAACCGACCTGAATATCCAACTGCGGACCAACCGACCTGACTATCTGACCAAGGACCAACTGATCGAGGCCCAACCGACCAGACCAACCGATCAAGGACCAACCGACCTGACCAACCGACCTGAGCGCAAATTTTTCTTCTTTTTCATCTGACTTCGTGTCTAACTTCCTTTAAGATCTTGCTATCCTTATTTCTTTTATTATTATTATTTTTTGTGCGTAACAATAAGCCTCCTCCTCAAGACTCCTAAGCATCACTTTTAGTGATATTTTAGGAGTTTGCAGGCCGTCATCCGAGGCCACATCAGCCTCAGATCCGACCTCTTTCTCTCGAGGCTACGTTGGACCTGACATCCATTCATCGTAGACTGGCAGTGGCCTGCACGTTGGTCGACCATGCACTACCACGTCTTCAACACCTCCCCCTGACCGAAGCCGCGATCATTCTCTTTAAAAAATGATTCTAACCTTCCTGCTTTGGATGCTAAACTAGCCAGATCTCGAACATCGTGGGCTGTCGAAGCCTCCCGAAGGTTGGTGTGCATCTTCCTGACCACCAAAGTAGTCATGTCGCTTTCTTCAATGATTGACGGGTAACGTCCCTTCATTAATCGCATCCGTTCTATGAACTGGGAGGCGGTCTCCTCCGGCATCTACTCGATCTCACAAAGGTCTGTGAGTGAGACTATTGGAAGAGGAATAAAGAACCTTGCATGAAAGGGCGTTTTCAAACCTTCCCAGGTTTGTATTTGTCCAGGTGGTAGATCGACAAACCACGAAAAAGCTGTTCTGGCAAGAGACAAACCAAATAATTGCAGTTTATAAAAAGGGTTATTACCGACCTCTCCTAACTGTGCCGTGAACCGACCAATATGCTCTATGGTGGAGGATTCGTCTTATCCTAAGAAAAGATGAAAGTCTGGCGGTCGATAATTCCTCGGGAGAGGATAATCATTGATGATCCTTCCCGGAAATGGCCTCTGATACACCGGTCGGTTTACCGTTTGCGGATTCATTCCGAAATGTACCCACAAGACTTGAGCGATGTCCTCCGGATCTACCCTGGGTGGAACAGGGTCGAATATAAGAATAGAATTATGAGTCTGTTCCCCCAACCTCTCTTTTTTGGGGACGGTTGGCTCGGCTGGGATGGGATTATGAGTTTGTCCCCTCAATCTCTCTTCCATCACGATATCCGGCTACAAACAAAAAGTAAAATTCAAAGATATGGAAAATATCTTTAAACTTGATTAATTAGCGCCTGAGATTAGGAATCTCTAAACACTGTACGGTACATAAGAAAAATTAACTGGAAATTAAAATGCTAGAAATTTAAAGTGGTGATCCCCGAATCTGACTTTGCTTTGTTGAAGTTGATTGAAGATGCCTTCTCCAGAAAAATCCAAATCCTTAAATATTCCTTGAAGAAAACGCTTGGAACCGTCGCCAGCAACCGCCCAAGACGAAACGTTTTGAAACGTCGCCTGGTCAGTTACAGCAACCGTCTCGCCAACTGCATAGCCCAACTGACTAATCCAGCGACTAACTGGTCGCTAGACCAAAAGACTCCTTGGCCACCCCCACCAAGCGACCAAACTACTGTTCACTTAAGTGGGCAGCCGACTTTACTTGGTCCGACTACGTACCAACCGACTTGCTTGTCCGACCGCAGCCCATTCGACCTGCTTATCCGACCGCAGACCATCCGACCCGCTTATCCGACTGCTGACTAATCGACTTGCTTATCCGACCTGCTGACCAACCGACCTGCAGACTTTCCGACCTATGGACCATCCGACCCGCTAACCAACCGACCTGACTATCCGACTGCGGACCAACCGACCTGACTATCCAACCAAGGACCAACCGACCAGACCAACCGACCGAGGACCAACCGACCAGACCAACCGATCGAGGACCAACCGACCAGACCAACCGACCTGACCAGACCAACCGACCATACCAACCGACCTGAGCGCAAATTTTTCTTCTTTTTCACCTGACTTCGTGTCTAACTTCCTTTAAGATCCTGCTATCCTTATTTTTATTATTATTATTATTTTTTGTGCATAACAACGTGTTAACCTGTAAAAACCTTTTTTACGTTGAAAACATTGTGCTCCCAGAGGCAGGAGGTGACCTTCGACCCAGAAACCCTCTGGTAGTTGTCCAACCGTCTGTTAACGCCCCGGCGGTTGGTGGTTCGGGCGCTTTGCAACCTGCGGCCAATGTAACAGCTCTTGCAGCTCGTGTAGAGAAACTTCAAATTGAGCAGTCAGGCGGCGACCTTCGACGCCCAGCAACCCTCTGGTAGTTGTCCAACCATCTGTTAACGCTCCGACGGTCGACGGTTTAGGCGCTATGCAATCTTCTGCCGACATGGAAGCTCCAGACGCTCCTGAGGCCGATCGCGCCCCTGAGTTGTTATCGAAGAGTTGTCATCTTCGTCATCAGGGCAGCCTTCCATAAACTAGAATTTGGAAGAAGTGGTGGGTGAATCCTTTATTTTGATTTTAAGTCTCGACAGTTCTAACCTTTCGATGACAAAACAGGGATCGAAAGCAGCAGCTGTTCATCCTAGTCAACTCCCGGCAGGAGAGGAATCTGGAGTCAGGACCTGGGTATGTACTGGACCGATTCAACAGGTCCTGCCGCGTACGCCCCCAGTTTTGGCTCCTTCGGAGATGACCGCCGCCCAGGATAAGGTCGAGAAATGTTCATACTTTGTAATTTTCTTGTTCGTACTTTGATTTTTAAATTAGTATTTCCCTTTACCATCGCAATGTTGATCTCTCTGTCATCTCCCGAGTTCCCATTCCACAAACCTCCATATTGGTGGTGTCCCGATGTGCGACCTTGTCATTTGATGACTTGAAGCCTAAAGATCTACAAGATCTTACTCAAGTCACAATTGATTTACTGATTCAGCAGCTGACCGAGTCTGCCGCCACGTCTCTTTTGCATTGACTGATGGAACGGATAACCAAACTACAAGGTGATCTTCCATTGATTCAAGCAGTCGGCTCGGGTCAGCCACCGTCCTAAAGTGATTCTGCTGTCATCGAAGCCTCGTTATCAAAAATGAATGAAGATCTCAAGCAAGCGGATATGAGGCTGACGAAGCTTTTGGAAGCTTAAACTACTCTATCGGAATATATAAACAGAAGGCAGACGGAAGTAGAGCGGCTCCAAAAAGAACTGGAGGATCTTTGGAGAGAGCAAGTGGCTCTTGATGGGTGCATCAAAGAAGAATGACGTGTGATTGCCGAATATCGCTAGCACCGAACAAATTATCATGAAATCTTGCAAGCGGAAGCTCGGTCAAGGCTAATCCATGAGCATCAGACAGCCTATCGACAACGCAGGGCGGTTCGTTCAGAACAAAAATGGACTGACCTGCGAACTGTCCTAAATGCTTTGTTATTATCACAAATGTAAAGATATTTTAACTACGTAAATTTCTGTTTGGATTTCTCTTTAATCTAGCGAATTTTCATGTATTGTGCAACCACAGTAATTATTGTTGCCCTAAATACCCGAACTTTCAAGCATCCAAAAAGGTGAAATGAACCTCGGAACATAAAAAGAATATTCTGAAACAAACAAGTGTAACCACCTCATTTTTAAAAGTTGATGTTGTTAGGTAAATAACAGAAAGAAAACATGTAATAGAACATTGTGGTTTAGAAATAGAGACTTTAAGTAAATTGCATAGTGATTGGAGGTTACATAGTTGATAAAAACATCGCAATAAAAGTGTAATGAGGTCCACAAATTAATTGTGATTTCAGGCAACGGTTGAAGTTGTCGACGGTCCAAGTCAACAAAGGACAACATGTGAATTACAGAATATTTCCGCGGCCCTTCGGAAAGTGCCGAAACGGCAAGTGGAAACTTGGGTATTGATTGCACGCTTTGATGGTGCTTGATGTATGTTACCTACAGCAGCTGCACGAATGTCCATAAATTGGGCGGTCCATGCTGGGCCTTACGGTCTTCGTGTCTTGGTTTCTTGGGAGAGAGGGACTCTATTAGTCAGAAAATGGGACTTCTTAGAAGAGGAAAACTAACCACTTGATTTGTCAGGAAAAAACTTAATAAATTAAAATAAGACGGTCTAAGTTTTTGTTATAATGTAGTTATGTATAAAGAGTGAGAAACACTAAATTATTTTTTAGGTTATGCCGGCTAGCTGTAGGATTTTGTCGTAAACTATATTCTTTATCCATTGTACAATATCATTTGTAGGTTGTAGTGGTCGGATCATAAAATGTAATGACGAGAAGGATTTTACTCTTGATAAAGCAACATATAGTTGACCATGCATAAAAATAGGATCACCTATGTATATACCCACGTCTTCTAAGGTTTGTCCTTGTGACTTATTAATCGTCATTGCAAAGCAAAGTTTAACAGGGAATTGTGTTCGTGTAAAATTTATAGACGATACATTCTTATTCTTTGGCTGGAGTAGAATACGAGGTATTAAACAAAGGTTTCCTGAACAAGGTCTTGTCATTATTTCGGCTTGTATTAGATTTCTTGTTACTTTTTTGCATATGTGCCGTTTAACAAGACATTTGTCGGATCCAGGTTTTGAAGCAACATTATTGGTGCCCTAAGTTTTAGGATTAATGTGTGTGGTGGCATTCCATTTGGTGTAGTTGTGCCAAGATAATCTTCGTAATAAGCTTGTTGATCATTATCTTTAGTAATATCACGACCTATAGTTGTAATTTGTCTTCCTGACATTTTTTTAAGAATGTTATCATTAATAACATCTACAAGGTGGTTTGTTGTTGTAAGAATTGACCGATTGATAAATACGTCTGATGAAGGATTGTGTAAAAAAGTTGAATGATAGATATTTTGAATGAGTGAGTCTAAATTGGTTTTGTCAAACTTCAGAAGTGTATCTAGCAAAAGTCCGACCTCACCATTATTGTTTTTCTGACATGTATTCTTGCCAATAGTTTCTAGGTACTTCGAGAGTTCAGGATCTTGTCTTGCTCGCATGTTTGTAGTAAGGTAGAATTTACTTGCATTTTGGAATAGATAAGAAGAAACAACACTTGCCTTGATATACATTTCTTTTGTCCCATTGGGAATGACTGGAGTAATCTGTCGAAAATCTCTTCCAAATGTAACAACTTTTCCTCCGAAGTTATCAGTGCAATCTGTTATATCTTTTAATGTGTTGTCTAGAGCTTCTATTAGTTCTCGTCGTCCCATTGAGATTTCATCCCAAATAATTAGTGAAGCTTTTCTCAGTTCATGTGCAATATTATAATGTTTTGCTATGTTGCATATTTTGTTATCAGTCAAGTCTAATGGAAGTTTGAATTTAGAATGTGTTGTTTGACTATTAGGTAATAAAGAGGCTGCAACACCGGATGTTGCTGCAGGGATTGCTGATAGATTTACATTATTTGCATATGAAAGTATAGCGGTATACAAAAAGGTCTTTTCTGTTCCAGCAGGCCCGTCAATAAAACAAACAAATGAAGAGTGATTGTTTAAATTTTGAATAACAATATCATAAATTAATTTTTGTTTAGGATTAAGGATTTCCCATGACAGGAATTGTGTTGTGGAAATAGTCTCACGGCGAAAGTTTTCTTGTTGTATTTGTTGACAGTGAGAAGGTGTTTCACTTTGTAACTATTGAATACCAAAGTCATGCAAATTACTTCCGATGAGTGCTAAGAAACCATTTACAACAATTGAAGCTTGTGTCTCAAAAGTTGATGTATTAGTTTGTGTACAAGAATTACTTTTAAATATACAAAAACAGTAGAATCTATTCAACAACAACTGAGGTTCTGCTGGACTAGAAAATATGAGTATTGTAGCAAACAGTTGAGCAAATGCTTATGGTAATTGACATTGGGATGCTTCTTCAAGAGAATCAATTATTCCACTATCACTAATCTAATAAACCAAGTGCAACACATGCAGAGCTAAGACTCTCATATTGTATGTCATTAACAGTTTTCAGGTCTTCAAAAGATGTCGGTGCTCGTCGAAATTGGAGTAACATATGAATAAAGTATCTTTCATTTTCGGTTGGGGAGAAGTTACAATTATTCCAATAGTTGTCCCATGTTTTCGTATATTCCATCTCTATGTGTTGCTATCCCATAAAAAATGTTGCGAAACTTCTCGGTACAATAAATTTAAAGCTCTAGCATTTGAGTTATGTGCATTTATGTAACAGAATTATGTTAGCATTGTTCGTTGATTAAGGGTAGAAGTAATTATAGTAGATACTGAATTGTTTGTTCTAATTGATGTGTATTGGTAATTTTGTATGTTAGTTGAAGAGCATGTACTGGAGGTTGCATTTCATTTCAGTTGAAGCTAAAAATACGCCAGCATGCTTCCGGAGGTGCTACCCAACGACCTGACTGGAATGCTAAGATCTCGTCAACAAGTTGTTCAGCAGTGGAAAGGTCGACTGTGTATGCAACCCGGTCCTGTTCTTTGTAGACATATTTATACAAATATTTAACAAGTTTAATTTTGAATAAACTTCTACATTTATATGGTAGAAAAATTTTTCAAGCAATTTAGGACTGTAAGGTACTACCCAACGATTATCCAAGATTTTTCCACGCGCATAGACAATAGATCCACAGTTACGCCTTCTATATTTTGGCAATCGTTTTCTGTATGATTTGTTTCTTCGACAAAACCTTTTGGGTATTGGTTTTTACATTTTCCGTCGAACATGCATACACTGTTTGGATTCAATAATCCACAATGACCATGTAGCATATGCTTGGACTAAATTGTACAAAGGAAGATCAATATGTACTGCTATCATCC